ACCTCCTAGAATCCATACCCTTAGACAGTCATTTCCACATTGATTTTGGGCTTATCCACTTAATGTGCTTTGGCATATGGGACACTGGCAAAGGTTACAGAAGCAGAGGCCTCAGAGGGGCTGTGCAAAGGGGCTTGTTCTCTTGGAACATGGCTGCTTCCACGAGGTAAGGAATCCAGCTGTCCTGTTGGAAAGCCATGTACAGAAAAACTGACATCCCCCCACCAACCACCAGCCATGTGAGCTAGGCCACCTTGGGCCATCCAGCCCAGCTGAGCCATCTGATGATCACACAACCACATGAGTGATGTGGGCAAGATCAGCAGAACTGCATCATCCACCCTAGAGGTCAGAGATCAGGAAGCTAGCCCTTGGGCCAAATCTGACCCACCACCTGTTTTCATAAGGCCCCACAACCTAAGAATAGTTTTTACATTTTTAAACGTAAAAAAAGGGGGGGTGGGGGGTAATAGTATTTCGTGACATGTGAAAATTACATCGCATTTCAATTTCAGGGGCCATAAATGAAGCTGCAGTGGAAAACTGTCCATCTGCGGCTGCTACGTGCTACAACGGCAGAGCTGAGAGGCTGTGATGGAGTCTGTATGACCCACAAAGCCTAAACTATTTACTACCTGTCCCTTTACAGAAAGAGTTTGCTGGCCCTTGCTGCAGGCTGCTGGCAGGCTAACCTTTAAACAACTTTTTATTGTGTTCACTCCAAAACCTTTGAAGACTTCTATCTCCTTCCTCAAAGGAGTGAAACTTTGTCAGTCTGGCTCCCTTGTCCTTAGTCAGATCTCAAGAGTCTGTGACCTAAATTCATTTCCTATGACATTCTATCAGGTACTCTCCATTCTAGACCAACTGGTCTCTCAGCTGCCCCACGAAGGCATGAACTGGTATGAAATACCTTTATCTGGTTAGCTGTTCTTGCTGAGCGAGCTCTCTCCACCTGCCAGCTCTCCCCATCCTTCTCTGCGCTCAGGGTCCCCAGCTCCCCAACCAAGAGAGCTACCCTAACTGCTTTGCCAAATGTTTCCCTGGGTGTATTCTATGGAACATCAATCCCAAGGGATATCCTTAGAAAAAGGAAACACCGCAGACTCCACGCTCTCGCGGAGTCACCGTACACATAGATGATATCGTTAACGGCTCTGAGAAGTCTCTGCAGTCAAGATGCCTGTTTCCCTTTGTTTAGCTCAACCTTTGCCAAATTCTCCAAGGAATTCGTTTTGTCTACAGAGTACTTGTTGACCACCAGCATGTAGTACAAGGCCCGGATTCCAGAACTCGCCACAAGAATGAAAAATGCTAATTTTTCAGACCAAGGGACCCACAGAACACACTTCGGAAATGCTGTTCAAACTCTTCCCTTTCTACCCCTGATCTGAGCTGTTCCCTTCCATGTCATCTATTCCACACCACGTAATGTTAATCATACCACCATCATCATCATGACTATCAATTATTCAGCTCCTGCAGCTGTGTTACAAATGGCACCAGGCCCTTGAAAATGTCCTCCCTTTCGATCTTCATAACTACTGAAATAGGTAATGTTATTCTTTTATTGCCACTTTGCCAAAAATTAAACCATGGGTCAGAAAATTTAAATCACTAGCCCAAGATAAAGTAAGTAGAAAAGCTACAATTTACAACTTTACTTGTGTAACTCCAAAGGTCATGGTCTTTGTTCTCTGCTAGACTACCTCCTGATAACATGCCATGGCCCTTGTTGTTGGCTATCCACCCAATATCCCTTCATGCTTTCTTCCACGCCAGCATGTATGGGGTGGCAACCAGTCAACCCAGGCAATGGACCATGACTCATCTAAACCACTTACCATGGTGTCCCCACGTCCCCACCTCCCAGCATTGAGGCAAGGACTGGCCATCTGACCAAGTTTTGGCCAAGAAGACATAATTCAACATCATCTGTGGGGTAGGTAGCGAAACAAAGACATGAACCCTTTATCCCTGCTTGCTCCTCGCCCGGTCCCCCTCCTCCCTGCCTTGAACCTGAGTGAGACAGCTAAAGCTTTAGAAGACATCTTGCAACCAAAAGGAAGAGGCCATTGAGAACTCAAAGAGACAACGGTCCCGAGCTTACTAACTTGCTGACCCAACTCAAGCAGCCATATACCTCCATACTTCTTGCGATACAAGAAAAAGAAGCCATCATTTGCTTTAAAACTGCGCTTGGATTTTCCATTTCGTGTAGCTTGAACACGTTCCTAATGGACCTACATGCTGTCTCCCATATTATTTGCTGTTTGGATTTCATCATTATTTCACACATATATTATTATTAGCCTTGTCTCCCTAACCATGCAGTACACATCTTGAAGGCTAAGTCCATGCTGTATATGGGGTGATATGCATGCTACTAAATTTTGCTTATTATCACGGTTTTCAGGATGGTCTGTTCAATTCACTACTTACTCCAGTGTTTGTGAGCAGGGAGACCTTACCATCAAAGAGCAGAAATATGCCACCTATCTCCTATTATGTTGGTATTTTTCAAAGTGTCGATGTGAAAACATGCATCAGAAACACCTGGACTGTTTATGAAATGCAGATTCCTGGGCCTCCTGCCAGTCCCACCTGAATTAGAGTCTCTGGGGTTAGAAGCTGAGAATGTGCATTTTCAATGAGCTCCCTCAGATGGTTTTAACATACAAAATGTGACAGTTTGGGGGATAAAAAAAAAAAAAACCCTCGGGTCCAAAGCCTAGAT